TTTGTCTTTATTTATTACTTTGCTATCTTTTATCATATTTCAAAGCAGTAAAAAATATTTATGGCGCCATAAATCTTTCACAAGTGTCACAGATACTTTTAATTCTCCCGATAATATTCTTGTCACATAATTTACAAATTATCCAATTAATGTCATACGAAGATACATAAGAACATTCATAGTAATATCCAGATAGTTGGAATTCTTTTGTTCTTCTGTCATTCACTATTCTATTAATATTTCACGATATTCACGCCTGTGTCATATTTACAATATTTGCCCGGATAATCGAACGTTCCGATAACTCGCGTTCAGATAATCAAGGTCTCACCGTGTAAAGTTCAAACGTACATTGTAGTATTGTTTACGTTAATTTGTCGAGGTTGTTCCAACGAGTTAGAGAACGAATAAAAAAAAAAATAGGAATAATCGAAACTCGGAGAGAAAAATATTCGATGTACGCTGGAAATATCATCGTTCGGAGGCAGATAAACTTTTGGAATATCCATTTATAGATTAAAATGGATCGGCCAGTGTCAGAATTTGGAACGAAGGCAGATTGTTAATATCGGAATATCGGTTTTATTCGATCATTCGCTTTTTAAATGTACATTTCTGCTTGCTGGTTTTTAACTTTCATATGTAACATTTCATTTCTTGCTGTTCATTTTGAACTTTCATATGTGACATTTCATGTTTTACATACTTTACTTTCTAGGACATTTATTTACTGTTCACAAGATGTTCAAAGTTTCATGCTATGCGTTGGGTCATAAGAATGTTAATGCGCAGTGTAAGTGCGCATAATTACAGGTGCGCAGTGTAGGTGCGCATAGCTACATGTGCGCAGTAGAGGTGCGCAGTGATACGTATTTATACATTGCTATGTACAGCAATAAGTTTCACAAAGATTTCACATTTTGAAACTTTTAATCTTGCTACATAAACCTTAAAAAATTGCGAAGAACATTTATGAAGTTTGAAATGTTAGAAAATAATAAACTTGATGAAAATTATCGTGTAATATTGAAACACAAATATTCGTCCAATACATCAATTGCAAGAATTTTCCACTGTAAGCCCACAACATGTACTCTACTGTGGCAGCAATTATCGGCACACGTTTTCACACTCCACTATCGCTTCGATAAAATTCATAAAACTCATAAATTCATGAAACTCCAGTTTATCGTAAACACCCAAAAAAGTATCTCCTTAATTAAAAAAAAATTTCAATTACATTACATCCATTACGTTTTTTCACAATAAAATCGAACAATACGTATCGCATAATTATAGTTGTACGATTAAACACGATGTGTGGTAAAATTCATTCAACAACAATTGTACCTATCGCGCAGTAAAGATTAAGCCGGGGTTAAAAGCGACGAACAACAACAGAAAACTGGATAACAGGGAGTCGATATTGATATTAAAATTTGTTATTATTTTGCGTGGATTATCGTGCGATTACGTTCGAAAGTGTTCGAGTTGGTGACACACGCCGTGATTTTACTCGTTGACTATAGCTTCGTTGCTGCAACGTGTTCTTCCATATGGAAGGCTCTCTCCTCTCGTAACCCAATAGGCTTCCCGTAGGAAGATCATACTTCGGTACAAAGGCTGATCGCTACATCGCACGCGATCACGGTGCACGTCATGGAAACTGACGATCTTCATAGCACCATTTGCTCGTCCTCTGCTTCGCCAATATCGCACTCCCTTTTTCGAACAAAGTACACGTCTTCGAGCATACTTTGCTTTCGTATCGCCGGGGTGAACTCTCGCGTGGCACCGAGTCTAAGCTTCGAGAATCTATGCTTTGAGAAATAGCGGTTTTATACTACTTTTATGATGGTTAGGTTAGTTAGGTTAGTTTAGTTATTTTAGTTTAATATGGGAAATTTGTGAAGGAAATTTTGGGGGATTAGCAAATTTGACAATTCTTGCAAAGTTAGAACTTGAAAATTTAGAAGTTGGGAGTGTAGAAGATAGGGGGTTGGAAATTTTAGAATGTAGAAATTTTGAACTGTGAGAAGTTGAAGAGTTGGAAATTTGAGGTTTTGGAAATTTTGAACTGGGAGAATTTTAATAGTTGGAAATTTAGGGATTTGGAAATTCTGAACTGTGAGAATTTTAATGCTTGGAAATTTGGGGATTTGGAAATTCTGAACTGTGAGAATTTTAATGCTTGGAAATTTGGGGATTTGGAAATTCTGAACTGTGAAAATTTTAATGCTCGGAAATTTTGAACTGTGAGAATCTTAATATTTGGAAATTTGGGGATTTGGAAATTTTGAAATTTTGAAATTTGAGAATTTTAATACCTGGAAATTTAGAGGTTTGGAAATATTGAACTGTGAGAATTTTAATACTTGAAAATTTTGGACTGTGAGAATTTTAATGCTTGAAAATTTGGGGATTTGGAAATTTTGAACTGTGAGAACTTTAATACTTGAGAATTTGGGGATTTGGAAATTTTGAACTGTGAGAACTTTAATACTTGAGAATTTGGGGATTTGGAAATTTTGAACTGTGAGAATTTTAATGCTTGGAAATTTGGAAATTTGAAAATATGAGAATTGGACAATTTGAAAATTTTAGAAAATAATTCAAAAATTTGAAAATTGAAAAATTAAAAAAATTGGAAATATGACTATTGAGGAATTTGAGAATTGGGGTTTAGAAAACAAAACATAAAAATACAAAAACTTAAAAACTAAAAAATTAGACAATTTAAAAATTAAAAAACTTATTCACGAATTTACAAATTTATAAACTTTACAACTAATAAACCAAAAAATGTACAAATCTAGTAGCACAAAAAAGACTTACCATACAAAGAAACTCCCCACAACTAATTAAACCCCCTCACTACAAAAAGAAATCCTTGAAACCTTCTTCAGAAGCCCACAGTATAAAACTTCAATTAATTTCCCATAGAACTAAAAAGGTGCGCATATTCATCGATGCGTAGATTGAAATTTCAAGACATCGTTTCAGAGGAAATGAGCCATCGGTTGCTTTGTATCCATTTCCTTTTGTGCCCGCACCGAATGAAGGTAGTAAAGGGTTTCGAAAAAGCAATACTTGCCAACAAAAAGAAAGAACAGAAAAGAAAAAAAAGAGACGTTTTATTCGATTCACAGAGGTCCCACATTGTTATTGCGTACACCAGATGATGCTCGAGTACTCGAGGCTATGGTGTTTCGAGTTTAAGGGATGCACTAGAGGTGACTAAACGTTGCCTCCGTGTTTACAACGCGTTTTTCTGTGTTTCGACACGTGGCGATTCAATAAAGGCTATTGATGTTCTCTCGCTGTACAATGCCGCTTAAATGCGTTTACATCGCAGACTGTTTCGGAGTTAGAAGACTTCGGGCGTTAGACAATAATAAAGTAATATATTAATCGTTGGAGATTGAATGTATAGGACGGTTCGAAATTAGAGGCGTAATGTAGGATGATTCGAAGTTAATCAACGGAGCTCATTTTTTCTCGTATCGTTGACTTTTCGCGCGAGATATCGATATCTGGAGAGTTCAAGGCGTCAACGACACGCGCCCCATACTTTGACGCCTTGAAACTGATATCTTGTCGCGAATTTGATTATTTCTTACGAAAGCATCCCTACGGAGAGTATTCTCCCTTGCTAGTTTGGAAATTTGGTTTCGGCTTGCAAATTTGGGATTTGAAGTTTGGAAATTTTGGGTTTTGAAGTTTTGGGATTTTAGGAATTTGGAGGTTTCAGAATTTGGGTTTTTGAAATTTTGGGGTTTTAGTGATTTGGGAATTCAAGATTTGGAGTCTTTGAAATTTTGGAGTTTTAGGGATTTGAAAATTTGAGACTTTGGGTCTTTGAAATTTTGGGGTTTGAGGGATTTGAAAATTTGAGAATTGGGGTCTTTGAAGTTTTGAGGTTTTAGGGATTTGAAAATTTGAGACTTTGGGTCTTTGAAATTTTGGGGTTTTAGGGATTTGAAAATTTGAGAATTTGGGTCTTTGAAATTTTGGGGTTTTAGGGATTTAAAAATTTGAGAATTCGGGTCTTTGAAATTTTGGGGTTTGAGGGATTTGGGAATTTGAGAATTGGGGTCTTTGAAATTTTGAGATTTTAGGAATTTGAGAATTCAAGATTTGGGGCCTTTGAAATTTTAGGGTTTGAAGGATTTGGGAATTCAAGAATTGGAGTTTTTGAAATTTTGGGATTTGAGGGATTTGGGAATTCAAGATTTGGGGTGGTTGAAATTTTGGGATTTTAGGGATTTGGGAATTTGAGAATTTGGAGTCTTTGAGATTTTGGGATTTGAGGGATTTGGGAATTCAAGATTTGGGGTCTTTGAAATTTTGGGATTTTAGGGATTTGGGAATTTGAGAATTTGGAGTCTGAAATTTTGGGATTTGAGGGATTTGGGAATTTGAGAATTTGGAGTCTTTGAAATTTTGGGATTTGAGGGATTTGGGAATTCAAGATTTGGGGTTCTTTGAGATTTTGGGATTTGAGGGATTTGGGAATTTGAGAATTTGGAGTCTTTGAGATTTTGGGATTTGAGGGATTTGGGAATTTGAGAATTTGGAGTCTTTGAGATTTTGGGATTTGAGGGATTTGGGAATTTGAGAATTTGGAGTCTTTGAGATTTTGGGATTTGAGGGATTTGGGAATTTGAGAATTTGGAGTCTTTGAAATTTTGGGATTTGAGGGATTTGGGAATTCAAGATTTGGGGTCTTTGAAATTTTGGGATTTGAAGAATTTGGGAATTTGAGAATTTGGGTCCTTCAAATTTTGGGGTTTTGGGGGATTTGAAAACTTGAGAATTGGGGTCTCTGAAATTTGAGGATTTCAGGTATTTGGAAATTTGAAATATAGAGTTTTTAAATTTGGAGATTTGAGAATTTGCCAATTTATAGATTTGGAAATTTACTATTTGAAAAATTAGGAACTGGTAGATATGGAATTTTGTGTAATTTAAAAATGTAGTATTTCGGGAATTTGATCCGAAGCCTAAAAATTTGTAAAATTCGTTGTTTTGGAAATTTAGAAATTCACAAGCTTAAAAATTTAGGAATTCTATTCCCTTGGCAGTTTAGAAAATCAAAACCTTGAATAAATCTTGAAAATTTGAAAATCTCAAGAGTCAACGATAAAGGCTCCATCTCACCTCGAATAATATTAATTGTAGCAAAATCTTACAACAAACTTCAACAAACCTTACAACAAATCATACAACAAAAGATGCAATCGTTATTTGATTCATCCCCAATTTTGAAGCGTCCTATACAGTGTACCTACGACTTGGCGCGAAATTCAAATCTGATTGAACGTCCCGTTCGACTTACTCTAATTGTAATACGTTTCTAGTACTCTAATTCTGCGAAGCGCCTCCGCTTATTCGTCGTTGCGCTCAATCGCATCGTTGACCGCCAGAATTCTCACCATATCGTTGTTAGACTCGTCCACATTCTTATAAGTGACCGTGTCCCTGTTTTTTCTTCGGATGTCCCAACGGCCGAGCGGTCGTCTCAGCAGGAAGAAACCCATCGCCAGGATGATAGCCACGAGAAGTATCAAAATGCAAGTCCAAAGAACTGGTTGGAACAGCGACGCCTCGTCGTCGCACTCCAGCTCGTAATCTGGTATCTCGCTCAGTCGCTTGTCGAAATGTCTGTCTGGTGTATGGCATCTGGAAACGCGAGATTAAGAAATTAATAAGCGAGTCTTTGTTCCAGCTCCTAATTAGGGAGCTTACTTTGTGTAAAGGTGTTATTAAGATCGAGAGCGGAGAACATTCTGATATCACATTAATGGTGAGTTTTGGGTGAAAAAGTTTATCGGAGATCGACTTAATTATTGAGGTAACCTTGGTGGACTTTGTAATTCGGAGATGTAATTCGAGGCGATCTAATGTGTAGACGTGCAGCGCCATCTGGTGGGACGCCGTATTGTACTGCGATATAACACATGTCTGAACGAAATTTTGAGAAAGAAATTATTGGACGTTTCGAAGTTCATAATATTTATTAATAATATTAAAAAGTATTGTCAACGTTTATTGGAAAACTACAGTTACTTGTATAAGTTAAATATTTGTTAATAAAAAATGTGAATTATAATTATTTATTTTATATGTTGGAGAACATGAAATGTATACGAAGGTTAAAAATACTTTTTTTTTTGATATCGTGGTTTTTATCAATTCATTTGGTGATTACATTAATTGCCTCCTCAATATATTTCACAACGTATTGGTTGTATAGAAATATGAAATTGATCTTTCACAACTATGATATATTGTCGACAACCTTTGATGAACAAGTGTGTATATCGACCGAGGTCTCCGTAGCACCTGGTTATACAACGCGTGATGATTGAACACGTGGTAATTCAACACATGGTAATACAACGTGTAATACAATCTGTGATAATAGAATACATAGTAATGGAACACGTTGTGACATAATTCATAGGATTGCACTTCACAATAAAAATTGTGGATGATAATTGAATGCGTTGAAACTAAACGCGTGATAATTGAACGCTGTGTGACTGAACGCGTGATAAGTGAACGCGTGGTAATTGAACGTTTTGTGACTGAATGCGCGATAGTTGAACGCTTTGTGACTGAACGTGTGGTACTTGAACACTTTGCGATCGATCATGTAATAATTGAACGTTCTGTGATTGTACGAATGGTAGTTGAACGCTTTGTGACTGAATACGTGGTAATTCAATACTTTGTGACTGAACGCGTGATAGTTGAACGTCTTATAATTGAACGCTCTGTAAATAAACGCGTGGTAATTGAACACGTGGTACTACAATATTGTACAGACTTTTGGTAATAAAACACGTGGCAGTGTAACATGTGGTTTAACACGAAATATTCATCAGGTCTACACGTGGTAATAGAATGACATGATAGAATGTTAATATATAGAAAGTGTGACAATACAACATACAACCATACAATGTATAATAACACAGTGTATCATACTTCACCGTATCATAGTTCAATACTTGTTAATACAACAAAATACAATGAACTCAACACATGGTAATAGAACGCGTGGCGACTTAACGTGTAACGTTCATGCATGTCGATTCCAATACATTATAAGAAAGTGTCACTTCATGAAAACCCATGCAATTGACCATATATCAAGAGCGTACTAAACTAGAATTCAAACAATTTCCAAACGTTTAACTTCAACTAGTTCAGGCAAGTGGAGACATCTGTGAGCCCTTCATTCAAGCTTTCTAAAATGACCGACTGCTTTCTACTAATAGTATGCGCTCGATTAATGCACGAGGAGCTTTAACCACCTGTCTAAAAATATATTGAACAAACTCTTATGACACATCCAATATTTTCATAAATTCTTTTTTTATTGATTAAATGTGACGTGCTAAGAGACTGTGAGATGGCACTCATATGTTAATAATATATACGAACGATAGTATCATGCATTAAACGCACATGCATTAAACCAGCGTCCACCATAATCACTCGTGCTTCACTTACTTGATCTCCCGGCTAAGTGACCTGGTGACATTCGACACATTTATCCACAGCATCCTACAGTCGCAGTTCCAGGGATTATTTGCCAGACTCAAAGTCGGTGTTTTCTTTATTATCGATATCAGACTGTAGTCCAGAGTCGTCAAAGAGCTGTCGTTGACAGAAAGGCGTTGCAGTCGTGGCAACAGGTACGCGTTGTACGGAAACAGTTTCAGGTGTATCAGTTTCTTTGAACCGTCTAAGGAAAGCACTTCCAGACTGGTCAAATTTTCGAGATCATTTAAAGACAGTTCCCTGAGTTCTTGCATGTTGTTTAATTTCAGTTCACGTAACTGGGGTAAATAGACACCCCTTAAACTCGACACGTACGTGCTGGATAAGTCGAGCACTTTCAAGCTAACCGGTAACAACGGAACCGTACTCATGGGATTCTGCGATAAATCTAGGACGGATAAGTTGTTTAACGTTTTGAACATGTCCGAAGTGAAATGGGATATCGACACGTTGCTCAGGTTTAAATATTGCAGCGACGTTAGGTTCCAGAACGCGTTCTCGTGAATCCCATCGTAGATCGGATTGTTTGCTAACGTGAGATACTCTAAAACCTGCAAAAGACCAAAAACATTGATTAAACTCCAAGTTCCTTAATTTTTCTTTTCGTCTTTTATAGGACTCAAACGGTAATTACTCTGAAATATTGGAACATAGTCTCGTTAACGACCGATAACCTATTCCACGAGACATCCAGCTTTTTGAGCTTCGGGATTCGGTCGTTGAAGGCATTGTCGTCTATGTACTCCAGCTTGTTGTGACTGACATTCAACACTTGCAAATTGTACTCGTCCTTGCAGAGGAAGAAGAATTTCTGCAGATGATTTTGCGATAAATCGAGTACATGCAGGCTTTCGAGATTCGTGGAACAATCTAGGAAACTGTCGAACTCGTTCCCTCGAAGGATCAGCTCATGGATGTCTGCTAGGCTGACCTGTTGCTGTAACTTCACGAAGAATTCTTCTTTCTTCATTCCGCGGTTTGAGAGGTCCAGCTGAAACGCAGAGGTGAGTCCATAGGAACATTTATTTATTTTATAAAATTGGGATTAGAATTAGAAATTAATTACTACGGAATAAGAATGAAATTAAGTATAAAATGAGGTGAATAATGGTTAGATCAAGATTGGTACATAGGGGGAGAAAATACGAATTCTTCGCGCGCTTCGAGGGACGCCATATTGTAGCGTAGGAAATGAGGAAATCTCGAAATTCGATTTGAAACAGGGGCTTTGGAATTTGAAGAGTTGGGAAGTTAAGAATTTTAGAACTTGAGAATTTCAGAAGTTTGAGAATCTGAAAAATTTAATAGTTTGAAGGATTTAGTATTTCAATGCAATAGGCTTTGGAAATTTAGAGATTTGGAGATTTAAGGATTTAGAGATTTAGGGTTTCAGGGATTTAGGGATTTAGGGATTTAGGGATTTAGGGATTTAGGGATTTAGGGATTTAAGGATTTAGGGATTCAGGGATTTAGGGATTTAGGGTTTCAGGGATTTAGGGTTTCAGGAATTTAGGGATTTGGGGATTTAGGGATTTAGGGATTTAGGGATTTAGGGATTTGGGGATATTGGTATTTAAGGATGTTGGGATTTAGGGATATTGGTATTTAGGTATGTTAGAATTTAGGGATATTGGAATTTAGGGATGTTGGGATTTAGGAAGATTGGTATTTAGAAATATTGGGATTTTGGGATTTTGGGGTTTTGGGGTTTTGGGATTTGGGGATTTGGGGATTTTGGGATTTTGGTATATATAGATTTAGAGATTTGTAGATTTTGAGGTTGATTGTAAGTGTTTGGAAATTTGGAGATTCAGAGACTTGGAGATTTGGGACTTAAAAGTTTGCAACTTTGGTAATTTAGTAAGTTGATGATTTGGAGATTTGAGGATTTCAAGAACTTTCAAATTTGGAAATATGGTGATTCAAAAACAAAGTTTCAGATATTTGTAAATTTGAAAAATAACAACTTCAAAAAATGTATTACAAAAATAATTAATTAACTTGATGATTTACGTATTCCTAAGTTTGAAAGCCATAGTAAATTTCCAAAAATATCGCCAAAACTCCTAAAAATTTTCGGACAATATTTCTCATAACCCACCGTCTTCGCCGCGATGGAGGCAACGATAAAAACGAATATCGCGATCGTTGATGACCACATTGTCCAGGTAGCTTATTATCAGTCACAGTAATAAACGCGACACAATGTCGATGAGAGCGTCTAGTTTGAACTATGCTTCTCACACAACGATCCAATGGAATGGCACCGAAATCATTCGCAGCATACTCTGCTTACGATTACAATGCCGAATTAAGAGGGGAGCAGGAGCCTCAGCATTCTTATGCAGTTACTCGATCGTTTCTGATCTTCTCTTTTTATTCTTCTCAACCCTGATGATTTTTCGTTCACTCGATGCTCTATCCTTGACACTTCCGTTGGAGCTAATTGTAATCTCTTCAGGACAACTAAACTTTGCTCACGATTTACTATACAATCAGGAATTTAAAGTATGATACTTTGAACACTATTTTATTCTTGGATCTTCCGTGAGGTCACACTTGTACAATTTTCTTTTTTAATTTATTTTCTTCCTCAAGGTAATTTTCTTCCTCAAATTAATTTTCTTCCTGAAGATTTATTTTATTTTTAAAATTGATTATTTTATTATTTAAATTTCGTTGTACAGTCCTTTGTTAGAAACGGTCCAGGATCGTGCACTTATTAGATACCTGCGTACGGTGACTCGCGTAGCACACCAACTGGACGCGAAATGGCGAAAAAATTGAACAAAATGGTTCGCGAGGCGGGCACCGAGTTAATCCATTCCCGGGCAGTTCAGAACCCGCGAGGCTAACGCACCACTTTTTCGATAAACCGAGATTACGTATCCGCACGTATATTCTACTTTCTGTTTACTTTTTTCCCCCGGTGAGCCACGTTTTAATCGCCACGTATTTTTTCAATTAATTTATGTTCGCACCGAGATATCGCTGGACGTCTCGTGAAACTTGACGGGTGTTATTAACGAAACGAGAATAAAAAAATGTCGGATAAGTCCGACAATCACTGCTGGCACCTTGCACCACGCTCGAGTGCGATGCACGACAAATTATTATGCAGTCGACGGAAACGTTTAAATGTATCTGTTGAACTTCCACGATTGGAAAATAAAAAACAGCTGGTCGCGATAAACGAGACTTGAAGCATCTAGCTGTAGTCTCCGCCCACGATGCATGATTGCAACTTTATGCACCGACCCTTAGCGGGCGGACTGTGGCCATTCTTGGTTAATATTAATTGATCGGTGATTAGTCAAGGTTTGATTGAGTATAGTCGTAAAATATAGTTTATTGAATAGAATCAAAATTGAATATGGATATAGTTAAGATGTAGTTTACTAAATATATAATTAGAATATAGACGTTGTTCAATTTAAACTGTTGTAAAAAATTTTAGATTAAATGAGCGTTGTTTCATTTGGCATTAATGGAATAGTCATTAATTTTTATAAAAAATAATGACTATTCCATTAATACCAAATGATTAATTTTTATACAAAAAATTAATGTAATATGAGAAACACTAAGGGTGTATTTTGGGAGAAATTATTGAGGGTTGAATGGGAAGAGTACTGATGTTACTGAATTACTGATGTTTTCGATTTTTTAATTTAAGAGTTTGGAGATTAGACAATTTGAGGATTTGGAAATTTAGAAATTTTTGACATTGACAACTTGGAAATTTAGAAATCGAAAAGCACCACATTTAGAAATTTAGAAAGTCAAAAATGCGGTTGACAGCTTATAGAAGTAGTAACATAGAAATTTTGGAAAATGAGGGATTTGGAAATTTTGAAATTCGGTCATATAGAAATTTGAAAATTTGGTAACTTGGTAATTTGGAAATTTGTAAATTTGGAAATTTAGAAATTTAGAAATTCGATCATATAGAAATTTGAAAATTTGGAAATTCGGTCATATAGATATTTGAAAGTTTATAATTTGGTAATTTGGAAATTTGGAAATTTGGAAATTTAGAAATTTAGAAATTCGATCATATAGAAATTTGAAAATTTGGAAATTCGGTCATATAGATATTTGAAAGTTTATAATTTGGTAATTTGGAAATTTGGAAATTTGGAAATTTAGAAATTTGGTTATTTGGAAATTTGGAAATTTGAAAATGTGGTAATTTGGAAATTTGGAAATCTGGAAATTTGGAAATTTGGAAATTTGGAAATTTAGAAATTTAGAAATTTGAAAATTTGTAATTTGGAAATATGGTAATTTGGAAATTTGGAAATTTGGTTATTTGGAAATTTGGAAATTTGAAAATGTGGTAATTTGGAAATTTGGAAATTTGGAAATTTGGAAATTTGGAAATTTGAAAATTTATCAATCTAAGAACTCGCCAATTTGAAAATTTATCAATGTAAAAACTCACCAATTTAAAAATTTATCAATGTAAAAACTCACCAATTTAAAAATTTAAGAACTCTAAAAATTAAAAAATACGAAAACTTGGAAAATTGCAAAAATAATTAAGAGACTTAAAAATACAGATATGTCAAATTTCTATATCTGACAGGCGCCTCAAATTAATATCGCTCGTAGTTTACGTAAAAATTCTTATCGGCGTGAAGAATCGATTGCTCGCAGAAAAATATTTATTACTCGCAAATCACAACAAATCACTCTCTACCACATGGAAAATTACTTCAACTTGTGATAAATTTAAATGTCTGTAATAAATTTAAATAATTTAAGTGTCTGTCAGACATTTAAATATCATCTCCTATTTTCAAATTTTCTCGACTTCAATTTCGAATTATCAGCTTTCTGATCTTCTTAACTCTTAAGCTTATAGTAAACATTTATCACAATGCAGTCCTCTTTCACGGATTTTTCGAATGAAAACCAGAGCTTACAATTAGGTGGTGAATTCCTATCTCTATCATTCGTTTCTTTGATTCTCGCCAGTTCTTAAAATAACGACGGGTTAATTAACTCTGGCGCAAAAACGATAATAGGTCAATTGCACGCGTTGCAGGCGGAGTAAAGGAAAGTTGAAATTCTTTGAAAATAATAATTGTTCAATGAAAGAGAATTAAACAATGGAACTATAAGCACGATCACTGACTTATGAGCATAATCGGTTCATTATATTGAGGCTACTGATAATCTATGTAGAAAGGTCAATGCAAGCGATAAATTGTGCTATATGATTTGATATACACATAATATAAAGTGTAGATCTTGACCTTTCTTTTGTAATATAATATAAGAAGAGAAAAGAGTAAGAAAAGATTCTTAACACAGTAGTTGTTGTGTCTTTAACAAGTACAAAAGTTACCCCGTGCATATTTAATATAATTTATCTATAGTAGAACATTAGTGACACAGATAAATCTAATAGTTTGCAATTCGTGATTGATGTTAATTGTGTAAACTAGTGATGGGTAGATTTAGTGCCCAAACACTTCACAAACACCGGTATGTGTGACAGTGTACAACTGTCTGTGTACGCTCTTGCAGTCTTTTGCTCATCACTGGTACACTATCAGTTATTAAAAAATAAATCGTATGACAGTAACGTAAACAACGTAGTTCAATAATCAGACGTTTATTAACAGAATGGTATCGCGTTCGCGCCCGCGGCGAACGATTGCGGTCGGAGATACGTGATACATAGTAACATTATTTTAATATTTTTAACGCGTTTACGATAACAGTGGCAAGATGATCGTTCACTTTTTCGGAGTCTGAGGTGTGCTGGTAGCTTTGAATACTAATGGATTTGATACTCGGAATATGCTTGGTAACATCGTGGCTAGTGTGCCAAATACTTCTTCAGACATTCCCTGCAAGAATTAAATACACAGAAATAATTTAATAGATATAAATATTCAGTAATCAAAATGTATGAGATGAAGAAACAGGTATAATCATTTTTACAGTATCTTTAATTTAATTTAATTTAAGCAATTACCTTTGGTACAAGGAATTGCAGATTCTTCAGTTCTGCGCCACCCCATGAAGCCATTTCTATCATGAAACCTTTCACGCATTTGAAAACTAGCTCTGCTCTCTTTGTACACCAAGCCACCGTCATTTCCTAAAGCATACATACAGAGGATTAATTATAGAATATAATAGTAAATAAATAAAAATTGATTTTTATTAGTAGAATCGTACCTCCGTCATTTCATGAACGAGCAATACAGGAATGGTCAGCGTGGTCACATCGTTGCAACAAGCAGTTTTCAAAATATTTCGTAATCCTAAAATAACTGGGTGTCTCGAATTGATATCGCCTGTAATTTACACAAAAATAATCAGTGTGAAGAATCGATCGCTCGCAAAAAATATACTCATTACTCACCAGATCGCAACGAATCGTTCACTACCATATGGAAAATTACGTGGACTTGTGCTAAATTTGAATGCCTTGTAATATAAACGTCGCCCGTTTGCAAACTCTTGCTGGTGGTCGACTTTTTCGACTGTAAAATAACAAATGTTAGCTACAATTTTAACATTAATATTTTAATTAATCTCTTCGTACTTGTGACTCGTTTCCTTCTTTGTGATGCGCTTGCCTCCAAGCAACCGCGTCCTTCACATCTTCACGAATTTTTTCCAATTGTTCATCAATTGGCGGAAAATGAAACTCCGTCGTTAATTGACATATCGAACATAATTCTTTCGTTATTCCCGAATAAGTTCCTAAATGATTGTCGTTCAATAATACTAAACCACATAAATCATTAGAGTATAATCCTAGAGCTGTCTGTAGCCTTTGAGGCGTGGGATCCATTCTATTTGCAACAAAAAATTAAACATTCTTATTTAATTCTACGCAAAATACGGTAGAGCTCTATTTATGCTAATGAAAGTTTGCTGAAGCTGCTACTGAATTATAGAAAATTTGTACAGGATATCATTGATACAATTTTTAAAAAATAGGTCCAGGTTAATATAAAATTCTACCACCGAATAAAATTATATAAATTGAAAAATAAAATAAAATTTTGTTCTCAAATTATCATCACCTAGTTATCTATAATCACCTTATCTTTAAACATATATAGATAAATGAAGCTCTACCGTAGTTGGCGATATACATCTAATCAACCCACCCAGATTCGCTCTTCTTTGTTCTACAAAAATCCAACACGTCTCCAGTCAATATACGTATATTGTGCATCTGTTTCATTTGAGAGCCTAAATGGATGGTAAAACTTTCTTCCAAGATAGGATAATCAGCCGTGTTTTTCTCCTCGCTATGAACAAAATTGTCTAAGGCTGGACGCAACGGTGGCATCGAAAGCATCGGAGAACCCCTAATAGTCACATGATATATAATTATCATATTCGTGGTACTGATGTTTGTTTCATTAAAAATAAACGTACACTGGCGTTGGCGGCATGTTGGTTTGTTGTTCTTCTAGTAATCTCATGATCCAGTTACGATACTGTCTTTTTTGTTCCAATTTCAAAGCGTCAACTCTTGATCCCCAGTGACCTTGCAATAAACTTTGTTCCTCAAAATGACGTCCTGCCATCTCGTTTATGGATTTTTCGGTAGAACCGGCCTCGAGAGCTTCGACGGCGACCCGCATTTCCTCAGTTTGTCTGGAATTCAATTAATTATCTTCTTTGTTTCTCGTGTGTTCTTAAAATATCGACGGGTTAATTGATTTCATTCCAAAAAAGGAGGAAAGTGTAAAGTCCTTTAGAAATTGTAATTGCTTAATGAACAGGGATTAAACGGTTGAACCATAAACATGATCACAGTAATCAGCATTATATTCAGGTTACTGATAATCTGTGTAGAAAGGTCAATGCAAATGATAATTTGTGTTACATGTATTGACTCTACATCCCAAATGTTCTGTAGACCTTTCTTTTGTGGTACAATATAAGGAAAACAAAGTATGAGGAAAAATTTTTGAAGCAGGTTTATTACGTCTTAAGCATGCACAAAAATCATGACACAACAAATAGCTTAGGTATAGATTAGTAAGTTTAACTGGAGATGCACGATATATTATTATAATATAATTAGGAATTAATATGTACTTACTTTTGTGTAAGTTGTTCATAATGTGTATCTCTCATTTGAATGACTTCAGTAACATCTCTTCCAAATTTATGCTCTGCCTGAAGAATAGGTTCTAATGATGGGGAATGCACTAATCTGTGATACGCAGCAGCAAATAATTCCTCGTCAGTTGTGCCAATGGGATCAGCATATTCTACTGTCTTTTGTTTATAAACTTTTTCCCAACCTTTTATTATCTCTTCAATGTCTAAGGTTTCTGATTTTGCATTCTCAAGAGCCTTTTCTGCTTTTTCATCATAAAATTCTATGGTTAATATTTTAATGGTACTTTCCAATTGTGCTAATAAATCTGATTCCACATAACATGGCAGTTTAAATGATGACATTATACGATGCATGAGTTCTTTGATAGAACCATAGTATGGTATTTTTAACGGTATTTCCAGAACATATTCTTCATTTGTGGTGCATGTTGGAAATTTATATACAAATGTTTTTTCCACATATTCTTCTTCAGGCATATTCATATCTTTTGCAGTAGATTTTCATTATATTTGGTAATTCATATATCTATTTTTCTATAAGAATTATTATTATTTATACATATTTACATGGTATTATTTTATTTTAATACAGTAGTTAATGATACATGTAAAGTGTTAAGTGTACTACAAATATATGACAAATACAAGTGATATGGATTGGACATATATTATAATATTGAGTTAATGTGTAAACTTGGTTATTATGATAGCCAAGAAGGTCAGCATTATTTCTTTTTAATCAATATATTTTTTTCATAGGTCAACTTTCACAACACACAGATCATAATGTCATTGATAAGCTGCAGAAACACCTCTGATTGCACTTTTTATCTGTGTACTTTTAAAAATAATTATTTCCATGTATTAATTGTAATGGCTTTAGATTTGTATTTAATATAAACTTTGCTATCGTGTACAAATTCATTTCTCATAAAACGTGACAAAACATAACAACATCTTTAAACTATAATTACACATTTTTTTAAATACAATTTATTACAACAATACATAATGAATGTTCGTGTTTCATGATTGTATATCAGTGGCTCATTCCACAAATATTTATCTGTTGCTTCATACTATATAAACTTGTTTTCTATAAAAATACAAAAAGTGGATATATAATATTTGTGCATTAAGCCACTGATGTATACTTGGAAACTCATTTGTTACAGTTTATAATACATTCAAGGGAGGTAGCATGAACAATGCGGTTTTGTTTGTGATTAATTATTGTGGAGAATGTTATTATTGTACAGTAAACCATAAATCAAATAACACTTACTATCCCACAGTTCTGTGCAACGCAAATACTTTTAAAAATCTCAATAGTTTGTGGAAACATCACATTAACTTAACATGATTGTTACATTTGTTCATTGCCTACTTAACCTAAATCTTGGAAATTGCACTTGCAAGATTTTTGTACTTTCGTTGTTGACAAGCAGTGCCTTGTCAAGCCATGTGTTGACATTTGGACAGGTGTCTTCTAATTTGTTTCAAATGAAACATTTCAAACAAACATACAATTCACACACATAATAATTGTCAAGAACTTTCAACGCCCCCAGTCATTTAATCCACAGTTTCGCCAACATAATCATATTCTACCAGCTACATTATTATTTGATTACTTTGTTAAATGCCTAACATATAGAAGTAATAAAACAGTCTTTCATATTAATCATTTGTGTTCAATATTATATTTTGTTTATTGCCCATTTGTCTTCATTTGTTATGTATATTCGAATTTGTATATTGTTGATTGGCTACACTGTATTATTGAATGGATTAGAGACCTCACACGGTAAAACTGGGAAACTGAATGGGGAATCCTTGTCTCTCCCGCGAGGAGAGACGAGGATGCCAGCAATTTCGTTGTTTAAAGATTTCGAGATGAAGAAGTAATATTTCCTCTTGCTTTCTTTTCCCAAATATTCTTTATATACTAATGTAATGTAGTCAACCCCACAAGTTTGCAATTTAGCTTTCAAAACTTATAAAAAAGACAAGGATTCCCAATCCTGTTCCAGAGTTTCTCAATTTTACCGTATGAGGTCCTCAGTTCGTTTCACTGTATCATTCACTACTAGTGTCGGTAAAATTCAGAATAAATTTTGGCGGTAGTAGTTTTCTCAAGTATTAAATAAAGTATTGAGAATGGTTGAGGATAATAATAAAAGTATGGAACTAACAGATCACGAAGCTGAGTTATATGATAGACAAATCCGGCTATGGGGTTTAGAATCACAGAAGCGGCAAGTATAGTGTATCTTAACCTATAATATTAGCGGTATTCGAATGACAATCTGTATCTATGCAGAAATGAAAGAAAGTAATATAAATAGTCTGCACAAGTAGTACAATATGAATATTGCACTTATCAAGGCTGAAACTAATGCGTATGTTCATATATTTGCAGCTTGAGGGAAGCTAGGGTTTTATTGATAGGCCTAAATGGTTTTGGAGCTGAAATAGCGAAAGATATTATTCTAGCTGGTGTTAAAGCTGTCACATTTTTAGATCACAGAAATGTAACTGCAGAGGATCGTTCTTCTCAGTTTTTAGCACCTAAGGAATTAATTGGAAAAAATGTAAGTACAAAAATTAAGTAGAATATGTTCAGCAGATTTTTACACAAATTATGTTCGCAGAGAGCTGAAGCATCACTGCAGAGAGCAAAAAATTTAAATTCAATGGTGATAATTGAAGCAGATACATCAAACATTGATGATAAACCAGATACCTTCTTTAGCAACTTTGATGTTGTCTGCGCTACCCAATGTACCATCACTCAATTGAAAAGGATTAATGATCTATGCAGAAAGTATAAAGTAAAATTCTTTGCTGGGGATGTGTGGGGAACCTTGGGCTATACTTTTGCGGATTTAATAGTACATGAATATGCAGAGTAAGTGGAATCTTTGGATATGTTTTGAAGAATAATAGTAATAATATGTATAAGATGGAATCTTTGCTTTGTAGAGATGTAGTGCAAACTAAAAAGATACAGCTCTCAGAAACCGGTGAACCTATGGAAAAAGAGAAATTTGAGAACATAACTGTGACAGAGAAGCATAAAGATACATTTGTACCATTTGAATCAATTTTAGATGTTCCAAAGTCTTCCCTTCCTAAAGAGTCAGAGATATATTATATGATGTTAAGTAAGTGTATAGACAAATACTTTAATACCAACAAATATGAAATATGTTGAGTCTGTATATTTCTATTTTCAGTAATGCTTAATTATCGCGAGAAATATAACAAAGATCCATTACCTAGTGAAAGAGGTTCTGAGGAGTTCATGGCAGAAGCTGCCAAAATTATTAAAAAATATGATCTGGAAGATAAAATAAATAACTTAGTAGAGTATGTATTAGACTACTAAATTTTATAAATTAATTAAATTTTGAATCCACTACTAAATTAAACTATGTAATTAATTTTAGGGGTGACATATACGCTCAGATTAGTCCAGTTTGCGCGATAGTCGGAGGTATTATGGGACAAGAAATAATTAAAACAGTTTCACAGAAAGGCGCACCACACAATAATCTGTTCATCTTTAACCCCGACACATTGTGTGGAAAAATCTTAAGACTGGGTCAGTAATGATCATCTTGTATCATGCTGTGTGACGGTATGCTTGAATATCTCTGTGTACATGTGATTGTCATAATTGTCAACTTTCATAATTTCTTATTCCACCTGTTTTGCTACAAAAATACAATAAATGTATGCCAAAAATAAAATACTGATTTTATTCTTTTAATTTTATTCAATGTTAAATACACATACATATGTGTTTACACATTTGCCTCAGGAAAGAATGTTTCTTGAGACTTTCCTGACATTCACCAGACACTTCACATTCTACATTCCTCTTCAAAACCGAAATAATTATATCGCTCGAGTTTTGAAGTTGTATCTTCAATTTGTAACATTACTTGATGTTTGCATATACACACAACACATATGCTACATTTGCTATACTTTCGAAGCATAACATACATATAAATGTTGAATGTGCACACTGTTGGTAAATGTCTCTCATCACAGGCTCGTGTACAGTGGCGAGCATGGTGGACCTTCCTAGGGAAAATGGCGATCTAGGAAAATTTTATTATGCTAGTCTGAGGAGTTTTTAAATTCAGAATTTTAGAAAATTGGGATTTGAGGATTTGGGACTTAGAGAGTTGGAGACTTGAGAGTTTGGTGATTTAGAGAATTGGGGATTTGGGGATTTGGAAAGTTGAGAGTTTGGTGGTTTGGAGAATTGCGGATTTGGGGTCTAGGGATTTGAAGACTTGAGAATTTGGTGGTTTGGAGAATTGGGGATTTGGAGACTTGAGAGTTTGGTGGTTTGGAGAATTGGGGATTTGGGGACTTGAGAGTTTAGTGGTTTAGAGAATTGGGGATTTAGGGATTTGGAGACTTGAGACTTTGGTGGTTTAGAGAATTAGGGACTTGGAAAACTAGGGAATTTGAGAATTTGAGGTTCAGAGATTCCAAGATTTAGGAATTGGGAGGTTTAGTGATTTGGAGATTCAAAACTTTGGCAATTTAGAAATTTAGTTTTAGAAAATTACGGGTTTAGGAATTTGACAAAATGGAAATTTGGGAATTGGAGAATTTCAAATTTGGAAATTTTATAACTTAAAATATTAGACAATTAGAAATTTGTGAATGTAATAATTTTTCCAATTTGCACATAGGAATTAGGTCTTCCCCCTACACTCACCCAAAGAAAACCTACATTGCCCTCGATTGTACATACATCCTAAGATATTTCCGTTCATACAATCTGGAAGGGGTCTTTCGCATACATGGAAATATGACTCACTTTCCCAGTTTCCGCCGGGGCAATTTGAGAGCCGCTTTGCAGATTTTTTTCGTGCTCTCTCGCGCGGAAAACGTGGCGGGAAACGTAAAATGGAAATTGAAAAATTGGAAAAGGGGAAGCAGCCAGTTGGAGCACGGCTCGTTATGCTTTATCGGCTCACCGTTATTACCTTCGTTGCCCCGTTGACAATCTCTCTTTATGTTTTACATTATTTAAAACTTCGTACCCTTTCGCACGATTTCCTCCATCAAATCCGTTCATTTTTCACGGTTAAATTTTAATCAATCGTGGAACACGATAATCCCAAACGATTCAATCTCTACTTGCGCAACTTCTTTCTGTTTACTTTTTAATCATTCATGCTTCTGTCTCTTTCTACCTTCTATATCTCTTCTATCCATCAAATCGTCTCTGGTTTGATGACTGTGATAACGAGTTTAACCGTGACGTCATGGGTAGATCCGATAAGTGTGACAAATCGTGTGCATGACAAACAAGAATTTATTATCACGTTATTTTATTGAAATGACGCGATTCTGTACGGGGAAGTAAAGAAGTAATGATTATATTTTCTATTGCGAAGAAACTAAACATTCATGCATGCAGACATGTGGTCAATATGGCGACCTAGATTCATATTCTCATAAGCTACTCTTCAAATGCAGCTCTCTATGTCTCTAAATTCACTAACTTTTAAATATTCATGCTTCCTAATCTAAAAACTTGAAGACTAGACTTGTGAAGAACCTAAACATTTATGTATACAGACATGTAGTCAATATGGCGACCTAGATTCATTTCCTCCCAAGCTACTCTTCGAATGCACCTCTCTATATCTCTAAATTCACAAATTTTTAAATATTTATGCTTCCTAATCTAAAAACTTGAAGACTAGACTTGTGAAGAACCTAAACATTCATGCATGCAGACATGTGGTCAATATGGCGACCTAGATTCATATTCTCATAAGCTACTCTTCAAATGCACCTCTCTATATCTCTAAATTCACTAATTGTTAAATATTCATGCTTCCTAATCTAAAAACTTGAAGACTAGACTTGTGAAGAACCTAAACATTCATGCATGCAGACATGTGGTCAATATGGCGACCTAGATTCATATTCTCATAAGCTACTCTTCAAATGCACCTCTCTATATCTCTAAATTCACTAATTGTTAAATATTCATGCTTCCTAATCTAAAAACATGAAGACTAGACTTGTGAAGAACCTAAACATTCATGCATGCAGACATGTGGTCAATATGGCGACCTAGATTCATATTCTCATAAGCTACTCTTCAAATGCAGCTCTCTATGTCTCTAAATTCGCTAATTTGTAAATATTCATGCTTCCTAATCTAAAAACATGAAGACTAGACTTGTGAAGAACCTAAACATTTATGTATACAGACATGTAGCCAATATGGCGACCTAGCTTCATATTTTCCTAAGCTACTCTTCAAATACACCTCTCTAAATCTCTAAATTCACTAATTTTTAAATATTCACGCTTCCTAATAAAAACTTGAAGACCAGAAAATGTTACCTTCTTTACAAATAAGAAATACAAAATCAACCCCAAACCTGTAACCACCCCCAAATTATCAAATCGAAGTATCAAAGCATTCATTTTCAATTTACATTTTTAATTTTGCATCTAAACTCTTTCCAGTCCACCCAAAAGTAACATGTAAACTCTCTTACACGATCCATAATAATTATTTATTTAACATCCCATACACTCACGAGGAATCCCTATGTCGCTTTTTATCTGGTCGCATCGATATCCGTTCATACGTAGGCGTTCAATTGATTCGATTTTCGTCGAAGAATTATGATGTATCGTCTTTCCCCGTGGACACGGTGTCGTTACATATTCCGGCGATTATCGTGCAGGCTGTATGTAAATGGGAGAAGGGCTCGCGTGTAAACCGCTCTCTTTTCACTGCAGGTACAGCAACGCATGACGTGTTTCTTAACGACACAGCCACGTGCTTTCACGGCTGTCGAATTATCTTCGACGAATGCTTCGTTCTTGTTCGTCGTCGAAAAACCATTAGCCCGGTACAATCTCGTCGGTCGTTGGCTAATTTGACATTTTGTTAGTATACCGACGAGCTGATTCGAGGGAGGCTCGTTTCGTTACGCGACTGATCCGCGAGCGTGACCGATCGTTGACTGATGATTTTGTAAATTTAATAGGGATTGATGCGTTGGAGTCGAATTAAGTTTTGGGGAAAATGGTGGGGGTTTGTTTGGTGATTCTGTGGTGGTTGGAAGATTCTGGAGTTTGGGAATTTAGGGGTTGGGGATTTTGGGATTTGGGAATTAGGGAATTTGAGGATTTCGGGGAATTTGGGGATTTGGGAGTTTGGAAAATTTAGGGATTTTGGGAATTTTGGAATTAGGGGAATTTGGGGAATTCGAGAATTTGGAGAATTTGGGGAATTTAGAGAGTTGGAACCTTAAGAATTTGGGGAATTTGGAGAATTGGAACTTTGAGAATTTGAGGAATTTAGAGAATTGGAACCTTGAGAATTTGTTGAATTGGAACCTTTAGAATTTAGGAAATTTAGAGAATTGAAATTTTGAGAATTTGGGGATTTTAGAAATGTGAGAACTTAGGATTTGGGGAATTTGGGACTTGGAATTTTGGAATTAGGAATTTAGGATTTGGAATTTGGGAATTTGGGGAATTCGGAGATTTTGGGAAATTTGGGAAATTGGGAGGGTGAAGAATTTAGGAATTTTGGAAATTTTATATTTAGGAATTTATGAATGTAAGAATTTAGGTGTTTGGGAATTTATAAAGCTGGAGGATTTAGAATTTTAATATTTAGAAAATTAGAGAGTCTTTAAATCTTGGTGTTGTAAAATTTAAGAATGTAAGAATTTCGAAATCTAGGGATTTTAAAACTTAGAAAAGTGGAGATTTGAAAACTATAAAATAAAAATTCTAAAATTTAATAATTTCAAAATTCTGAAATGAGAATTTGGGAATTTAGGAACTAGGAAAGAAATTGGGAATTTATTAAATTGGGGTTTGCAAATCTAGAAATTTGAAAAATTGGAGATATAGTAAATTAAAGATTGAAAATTTACAAGTATTAAAATTCTTGCAACTTTCAAATCTAATAATTTAGAAAGAATACCTAGGAATTTGCCAAATTTAAAAATAAAACAATTGTAAATAAAATTTAAGTTTCCATTTGGTCCTCCAAGATTTATTTTAAAAAATAAATTCATCTTACAATATTAAATCTTCAACCCCAATTATCCCCACAAGGGGTGATCAAAAAATTTCTCTCAAATAACATATCCCCCCCTGAAAAATATCTACAAGATAACCCAGATGAATCAAGTCGATATTGTAGATCGTTTCCTGCATGTTCTGGCACCAATTCGTGTAACTGTTATCAGCTGGCATGGTTTTATCGCGATATCAGTGTTCGTGTACGAGCGTCGTGTAAATGCGAACAGTAGCTTTAAAATATGAAGGAGTTCCACAACAATTCAGCGGGGTTTTCGCGATATTATCTTGCGGCAAATGGGTTAGAAGACGTACAGGTACTTCCCGTGAGTCAGGTAAGGAATTTACCGAGACTACTGTCACGGTTTCTGCGTGTATATACACGCTGGTTGTGAATCGATACGACACGTACGCCTCTAGGAATGTTAAATGACCACAGAGCAAACATAGAGGAACGCGTGTTTCATTTCCAACGATATGCTCGTTGAAACGTTCCTCCGAATTGCTCGTTAAAATGAAATTATCGTCATGCGAATGGAACTGAACGATTCCGTCTCTCGCCGACGCGATTCCGGCTTTTACCCTCCAATTTTTCGTAATTCTGTTTGCTAGGAAATTAGTGCTT